GCGCCACTGCACTCCAGCCTGGGCCACACAGCGAGACTCCGTCTCAAAAAAAAAAAAAAAAAAGTGTAGATTGGTCAAGCATCTAGTTGCTTCTGGAATGCAATTTGTGGGTGTATATTTTATAAAAGTATAGAGGACTATGTTACATAATAAAGTTAGCATTGCTATAAAGACATTATGTATCTTTATTGATTCAGAAGAAAAATATTAGAATAATTTGACCATTTCAATGAATTAAAAAAAAAAGTTATAATTAAACTATTCCTGAATTTCTAATGAAGATTTGCTCTTTTCCTTTGCATCAAGTCTTACATTAATCACAATTCTGTCAACATTTTGAGATCTAAGGACATTTGAAATGGTAAGAAACACAATTATAGTGACTTACTTGTTATTTTTTCCTTTAGAAAACTTTAATGCTACTTTCATGTATCCCTCTTGTAAGCTAACATTCAAAATTGTTATAGAGGTGCTATAATAAATGTCTTTATAGATAAAATAATTTTTGTCAATAGAATTTATTTAATTTACATGAATACTAAAATTACAGAGCAACTACTTATTCTGACAATGTAGCTCAATTTAGCATGAGTGATAATGTAAGTAAAAATGATAAGAAAATATCTGCATTTATTGCAAAGTTTAACAGTGTCATTTCAGAAGAAAATTTTGTATTTTAGAAAAGGCCTCCAAACTGCAAATTAATATAAGATGAAATGGTATCACTAAGAACAGTGAAATTTAATAAAAATAATGTCTCATTTATTTGAAAATAAACATTTCATTTTAAATAATGAAAACATATTTAAGGAAAATATTTAACTTCTTAGGTAATATAGTGAAGAAACTTTTAGACGACTTTGTCAGAAACAAAGTAATCAATTTACATGAAATATTTATTTCATCCCTGCATTTATATACCATCAGTCAATCCAAATAAGAAAGATAATTTAAAAATCACTCATGATGAAGACCAAATTCTTTTAACTGAATTTCCAATTTTGCAGATATTTTGACACCTTAGCAGGCCAGTCTTTCTCAGAGTTTTATTCTCTGGACACCTACATTAGAATCACATATGTGATGAGATAGAGGATGTAAGCTGTTGAGATACTCAAGACTGACACACAGTTTGCTGAGGGAATGGTAAAGGTCAGGAACTGACTCATTTCTGAGATAATCCTGATGTCCAATAAAGTTTAAGAAATGTTGTTTTAGAGAACATTTGATGTCATTAAAAATCCATTGAAAACACTCTTGACAAAAGGGTTTGCTTACACTGTACTATTCATTCTTAAATAAAGGAGAGTGGGGACAGAAATAGAACCATTGGACCATAGAACTAGAATTTAGGGTGATTAAAATTCATTGTTTCACAGAATCTGCCCAAAGAAGGATTAGAGTGGTCATTGACTACATAAACAAGAAAAGTAACTTTTGAATCACAAGTCCAGGGATATAAATGGTAGTTATTTGCCTCTAAATAATAATTATTCTAATTTTTATTTGCTATACATTTGGAAATTATATTTTAAAGATAAAAATAAACAAAAATAGTATTCTAGTTTTTGAGTACTGTTTATTCCAGCATTTGCCAGTGAATCAATAGAACAAACAGCAGAACGCTGTAAGTGTGCCAACCAGAAATTATTACAAAAAAAAAAACTATTATTGAGGTTCTAAAAATGAACTTAAATTTATTTACATTTCACGATGATAATTTATTTTTTACTGATTTTAAAGAAAGTAAATAGCAAATCTAGACTAATAAAAGAAATAAATAAAAAGCATACGATGAAGAAAACCCACAAATAACAAAAAGTAAAGAAATGTATACAGCTAATTTTAGCTATTCACAATTGCTAAGGCAATATCAGTTAATTCACTTGACTTGCACTTTAGCTCAGTTAGGGCAGTCATCATAAAGAACAGAGTGTTAAGCAAATTTGAAAACATAATCTAGAAAAGTATTTGAATGAATCAATAATAGAGGAGATGCTAGATAAGACTGTGTGTGATTACTCTTCAGTACATTCAGGATAGAAAATAAATTTGTTTTCCAGAGAAGAGCAAGAAAAGGGTGGTTAAGCACCCAAGAATGAAGGTTTAAATTTTAGTTTAACTTATATTTAGAGCTACATACATTTCCCCAGTCTCAAAGCTCTAAGTTCCTATTGCTATCATTATAAAACTTAAAATTATGCATAATTAAATGGAAAGAACACTTTATATTACTCATTTTTCTGTTAGTCTTGGTATTAATTACTATCTTCTCAGATATCAATCTCAGAAACATGTAATAATTAATAATCAGTATTTCTCTTTGTTTCACACAGCATATCTATTAAGCTTACTATTGTGCATATGTTATGTCTTGTATTAAAGTTTCCTATTGCCATATTTATTTATTCCCATAAAAATATGCTCTTTTAGTCTAGGAACCAAATTTTCTATGCCCATTACATTGACTTGATATGAACTCATGTTAGATATTCAAGAGTCACTTACTCTCTATCTAGATCACCTAAAAGACTAAGAAGCTCACAATTCTGACAAATAAGTGTTACATAAATATGAGTTTGTTAAATATGAAAATGCAGGTTCTATTGATACTTTCTCCATCTTATTTCAGCTTTTCTCTATTTGTTAGCTATTACCCTAATGTAATCATAGAAAGACTTGCACATTCTTATAGCCGACTCTTAATTTGTCATTCCTTGGTTCATTCTGTATACAGCTACAGCTACAATGTATTTATATAGCAAATATATACAATCTGTCTTTCGTATTTGGAACAACAAACTAAGCACTGTAGGAGATCCAAAATTTAATAAGAAATAATGCCTGATATCCACAATGAGATACCATCTCACACCAGTTAGAATGGCGATCATTAAAAAGTCAGGAAACAACAGGTGCTGGAGAGGATGTGGAGAAATAGGAACACTTTTACACTGTTGGTGGGACTGTAAACTAGTTCAACCATTGTGGAAGACAGTGTGACGATTCCTCAAGTATCTAGAACTAGAAATACCATTTGACCCAGCCATCCCCTTACTGGGTATACACCCAAAGGATTATAAATCATGCTGCCATAAAGACACATGCACACGTATGTTTATTGTAGCACTCTTCACAATAGCAAAAACTTGGAACCACGCAAATGTCCATCAATGATAGACTGGATTAAGAAAATGTGGCACACATACACCATGGAATACTATGCAGCCATAAAAAAGGATGAGTTCATGTCCTTTGTAGGTACATGGATGAAGCTGGAAATCATCATTCCCAGCAAACTATTGCAAGGACAAAAAACTGAACACCACATGTACTCACTCGTAGGTGGGAATTGAACAATGAGAACACTTGGACACAGGAAGGGGAACATCACACACCGGGTCCTGTTGTGGAGTGGGGGTAGGGGGAAGGATAGCATTAGGAGATATACCTAATGTAAATGATGAGTTAATGGGTGCAGCACACCAACAGGGCACATGTATACATATGTAACAAACCTGTATGTTGTGCACAGGTACCCTAGAACTTAATTAAAAGAAGAAAAAAAAAAAAAGAAAATGTAAATGTAGCACATGTGGCTGGTGTTGTATTTCTTTTTTTTTTTTTCTAGGTACACAGGCAATTTTATTTAAGATTGCAACAAGAATTGGTGTGTTTCCGCTAGTTAGAATGGCAATCATTAAAAAGTCAGGAAACAGCAGATGCTGGAGAGAATGTGGAGAAATAGGAATGCTTTTACACTATTGGTGGGAGTATAAATTAGTTCAACCATTGTGGAAGACAGTGTGGAAATTCCTCAAGGATCTAGAACTAGAAATACCATTTGACCCAGTGATCTCATTGCTGGATATATACCCAGAGGATTATAAATCACTCTATGATAAAGACACATGCACACATATGTTTATTGTTCACAATAGCAAAGACTTGGAACCAACCAAATGTCCAACAATGATAGACTGGATTAAGAAAATATGGCACTGGATTAAGAAAATGTGGCATATATACACCATGGAATACTATGCAGCCATAAAAACGGATGAATTCGTGTCCTTTGTAGGGACATGGATGCAGCTGGAAACCATCATTCTCAGCAAACTATTGCAAGAACAGAAAACCAAACACCGCATGTTCTCACTCGTAATTGGGAATTGAATAATGAGATGACTTGGACACTTGGACACAGGAAGGGGAACATCACACACCGGGGCCTATTGTTGGGAGGGGGAAAGGGGGAGGGATAGCATTAGGAGATATACCTAATGTAAATGACGAGTTAATGAGTGCAACACACCAACATGGCACTTGTATACATATGTAACAAACCTGCACGTTATGCACATGTACCCTAGAACTTAAGTATAATAATAATAAAAGCAAAACCAAAAAAAAAAGAAAAAGAAAAGAAAATATGGCATACTATGCAGCCATAAAAAAGGATGAGTTCATGTCCTTTGCAGGGACATGGATGAAGCTGGAAACCATCATTCTAAGCAAACTATCACAAGGACAGAAAACCAAACACTGCATGTTCTCACTCATAGGTGGGAGGTGAACAATGAGAACACATGGACATGGGGCAGGAAATATCACACACTGGGGCCAGTCAGGGGGTAGGGGGCTGGGGGAGGGGTAACATTAGGAGAAATACCTAATGTAAATGATGAGTTGATGGGTGCAGCAAACCAACATGGCACATGTATACCTATGTAACAAACCTGCACGTTCTGCGCATGTACCCCAGAACTTAAAGTATAATTTTAAAAAAAGGAAAAAAAATAATGCCTGATATCAAAGGAATTTTAAGGAGATGAAGATACATATCTCTATAAATAACACAAGGGTACATGGAGTATAGAGCTCAGGAAAAGTAGTTTGAGTTGATGTGGTAAAATACTAAGAGTGGATTCAAAACGCAAATGTAGAATCTTGTGTTTCCATAATTAGAATTATGATTTGAGGATTTTATTAAACCTTACTTGTTTTAAGCAGCACCAATGTATAAACGTTTTTTCATCTTTCTTGTTCAGTGGCCATTGGGTTGATCTGTACTCTGTTTCCAAAGAGTTGTGGTCCTAAATGACATAATAATATTAATTCTTATGTAAATATATGGGTTCACACATTTAAATACCATATAGATATCAACATTTGGGAGGTCTTTGGTCTATTATCTCTGTATTCACAATAAAGAGTATCATACCCAGGCCATATTAAATGCTTAACAAATAGTTACAGAATTGAAAATGTTTGATAAAAGAAGTCTTAAATTCTGAAATATTCCATTTAAAAATACAATAAACAGCTTTTAGGCACTGGAGATTCTTGAGGACATTTTTTAAGCCACTCCACTCAAAAATTCATTCAAAAAATGATTCAAAAATGTTTCTAAATGTATTTAGTTAAATGTTTTATGTCTAAATTGTTAAATGTGATAACTTAAGACTTTTAATGCACCAACTTTATTAACTTGATCTGGAAAAATAATTCTGATCCACTCTATTGCTTTCATTTTTTCTAGAACTTTGCATGTCTTAAATGCTCTAAGACTTATGAAATGCTATTTTATGTCATAATAGACACACCCAATGCTCCTTTCCCTTAAAACCAACCAAACAAACAAAAAACAGTTTAAAGTAATGTATCCATAGATACTTGGTGAGTCCCTATTGACCTGCATGTACGCTGTAACAACATAGAATATTAATTGTTGACTTGTACATGAATTCACATATAAGCTATTTTACCAAAGTTTGTGAATAATTTATGCATATAGATAAATAATGCATTCTTTTGCAGAGGATTGAAGTTTAATTTTTTGTGGTCATTTTTAATTTTTAGTCATCAAAGGGCCACTGTCATCATAGGGGAAAATAAACAGTGATTATTAACCTAGATAGAGAAAAATGTATTTACTGGTAATTCAATTAAGTGACATTTTGGAATTCTGCTTTGTGGGAGTAAGTTTCCAGAAGTTAGTAATACACTAATCATAGAGAGGCTGGTATATGGGTTGTTAAGGAGACACAGGTAAGTGATAGACATTAAGTCCTGGAACTGAATTTTAAATGTAAAAAGAGAAGTAAAAAATCAGGGTCACTAAAAAATAAAAGAGGAGCCATTGATAGTTTGGGTAGGAAGTAAGTGAAACACGTGGGACAAATCACCTAACAAATAAGGCTAGTGAACTCAAAGTAAATTCATTCACTTAACAATCATGACAATCAGATTTGTGATATTGAAAACATTTTAAAATGAAAACATTCTAAAATTCTATAAACATCCTTGTTCACATCAAGACCAAAATGTTTCTTCCTTCCGTTACCAAGATACTTATCAAGAGAAAACAAGAACCGTATAGAATGTTATCAGTAGAGTAGGCAGTGCCAAGCTCTTGTTATCCCATAGAAATTGTCAGAACCAACTTTGACAGAACTCTGGTAAATAGTCAGAGATTTACCTCAACCAAATGAATGCTAAATTAAGAAAATTGCAACTTAAGATGGTAGAAAGGTGTTTGCAGCATTTTTACTTGCCTTGTCCAATCTTTCACCAGCATAACAGCAGTCTTAAAGCAGTAGCACCCTGTGTACCCAGTTCAGAATCCTGGTCCTTGACTCTGAAGAAAGTCAAATGGACCTTATTCACAAATTATTGTTTATGTCTGTTCTATTGTGTCTGGGGACTACCTGAAGAAATCATGAAAAGCAGTCATCACTCTTTTGGATCTCAGGCTAAAGAACTGGGTATTGCTCAAAAATGAGCAAGGCAGACAAACAGATGTTTGAGGTAAAAGATTACAGTTGTGACATAAAATAGACTGCTTAAGATATAGGAAGAAATTCTTTGGAAAATCAGAATATTCAAAAGCACTTGTATATACAGGGGGATTTATAAAGCCAAGCACATGACCAAGGCAAGACACATGTTAATAAATGAACAGAGAAAACTCTGTATTTCCACCCTGAGCTGATGCTTAGGCTCAGTGCAAGTCTGGCTAAATGATGAAAGTGCCACAGCACAGAGACAATCTCCAAATACTAAAGTTTTTTCTTTTGTAATTATTTTCTAATATTTTATTTGCTGTGTTTTGTACTTTTGTTTTGTTTTATCTTTATTTTAGCTCCTAGAGGTCAAGGAAATATCTGTCAAAACATTAGTCAGACATTAGCTGAATGAACAGATAATTTAATGGTAACAAAAAACCAAACAAACAAACAAACAAAAAAACAAGCAAACAGTCTTGGCAAAAAATAGTTTGCAAAAGTAACTAAACAAATAGACTAGCACAGACTTCAACAATTGAAAACATAGGAAACCTTAGGGAAGGAACAGAGTTTGATTTTCAGAGTCACTGTATTATAATATGTAAATGTCCAATTTTCAACAAAAACCCACAAGACATATAAAGTAATAGGAATGAGTAAAAAGGAAAAAAAAATAAATTGAAATAAACCGTATCAGAGGAAGTCAGGCATAACACATACTGGAAAATTTTTTTAAATACCTGTTTAAATATGTTTAAAAAGCTAAGGGAAAACATAGAGAACTACAAGAAACAAAAACAGAAAAAAGGATTTATGAAAAATTATGACATCAGTAAAAACAGAAATTATAATAGAGAATACAACAAAAGTTATTGAAGTAAAATTATACTAATTGAAATAAAAAAATCACTAGAGGTGTTCAACAACAGATTTGATCAGGCAAAGGAAAAACAGCGTGGACTTAAACATACGACAGGTGAAGTTACTGGGTTTGAAAAAGAAAAAGAAATAGGAAAAGTGAACAGAATGTAAAGGCCCTCTAGAAAACCATCAAGTAGATTAACATATGCATCATCTAAGTCCCAGAGAAAACAGAGAAAATGGGGTTGAAATAGTACTTAAAGAATATTCAACTTCTCAAACTTACCAACTTTAATGAAATACATGAATCTACAAGTCTAAAAAGCTCAACAAATTTCAAGGTGGAAAATTTAATTATACATTCAGACACATTTCACACACTGAAAAACAAGAACAAAGAGAGGATCCTGAAAGCAACAAGAGAGAAGAAACTTATCACTAAGAAGGGATCTGCAATAAGATTCATAGGCCAAATGTAATCAGAAACTATGGTGGTAAGAAGGCAAGGGAATAGCATAAAATGTTGGAACTCTTTTATTATAAAAGAATCTTATTTGTTAAAAAAAAAAGGCAACCAAAAATTCTATATCCAGCAAGATTATAGATAAAATTAAGAGAGGTATTCAGAAATTCTCAGATTTTTTTTTTTAAAAAAAAAAGGATGAAAGACTGTGTTACCATCAGATCTGGCCTAGAGGAAAAGCTAAAGAGAATCCTTCCAACTGAAATGAAAGGACAGTTTACAGTATTTCAAAATCATGTAAGTAAAGGTCTTAGTAAAGGTAAATACACAGAACTATAAAAAACTAGCATTACTTTATTTTTGCTTTGTCACTCTATTTTGTATTTCTTAAAAAATGTGTAAAACAGAAATGCATACAAATATTTATAAATTTATGTTATTGGATGCACAAGGTATGAAGCTGTAGCTTTTGATGATAACATAGAATGAAGGATTATACCATTTAGGAGTAGAAATTTTGTATGCTATAGAATTTTAATCATTGTCAATTCAAATTGTGTTGTTATGCATTTAGTATGATAAATATAGTTCCCATCATAAACACAAAGAAAATATTCATAGAATATACATGGAAGAAATAAAGAGAGTAAAAATGATTTATCATCAAAAATTAACCAACTACAAAAGAAGGCAATAAAGAAGGAAATGAGGGACAAACAAGGCATAAGACATACAAGAAAACACATAGCAAAATGAGAGAAGTAAATATTTCCTTACCAGTAATTATTTCAAATGTAAATTAATTAAATTCCCTAATCAGAGAAACAGAGATTGAAGACAGCATGAAAACAGAATGTAAAATATCTAGTTAATATTTTATATTTGAACATAAATGTAAAATTTGAGTTTTGAATCTCAACACTATTAATGTTTCTCTGTACTGCTTACTGATAGCTGCAATAATAGAAGTTATAACTTACTGAAAAGTCCTAACTAAAAAGAATTTTTTTCATAATTTGGTGATTACATAAACTCTACTGGTAGTCAATGTCTCTTCAAAGTGGAGGTCCTGGATATGTCACTATTTTTTTGTTTTCCCTCTTTCAAGGTTTCTGAGGTTGCTCATTGATATCAATGCACTGAGTACCCTATCCCAAGACATCTTATAGTTGACCAGAGAATGGAAGACCAAGTCCTTCTAGTTTTCACCAAAGAGAATATGACCATGTGGGAAAATACCAAATATAAACAATATTGTGTGGAATCTTTTCAAGAGCAAACAAATAAACAAACAAAAAACCCAGAGATTGGTAGAACTGGTAAGAAAAATCACCCAACAATATGCTGGACACAAATATTGTGTCCAAAAACATAAAAACATAAAAGGGTCACTTCATCAAGAACTATAACAATTGTAAACTTATATACAACAACAAATAAAGGCCCCTCAAAATGAGCAAACATTGACATAATCGAAGGTAAAACCAGACAATTCTACAACAATGGTTGAAGACTTCAGTACACCACAATCAGTAATCAATAGAACTGACCTTAAAGAAACCAAAAAAATTATAAGAAAATATTACACTAGCAAGATAGATAGTCTACAATAAATTCAGAAATTCTTAGAAACACAAAAATTGCCTAACTGACTCAAGAGAAAATAGAAAATATCAGCACGACTATAACAACAAATACATTGAATCACTAATCCAAAACCTTTGAAAAAAGACATGCCAGGGCCAGATGGCTTCACTGGGGAATTCTACCAAACTCTTAAAGATAATTCTATCAATTCTTCTCAGACAATTTAAGAAAATAAACAGAAGAGAGGAAACAGTTCTTAACCCATTCTAGGGAACCAAAATAGTCCCGATACCAAAGGTAGATAAAGACATCACAAGAAAATAAAACTGCACCAATATGTATTTTATATATATTATATATATATATAAAAAACTGTGCCAATAGTCATTATATAGGT